GATCTCCTCTGCCCATCATGGGATGGCTCAATCAATCCCACCGGCTTCGGAGGAGGTATTGGTGGCCGTGGAAGCGGAGGTGATATCCTTCGTCAAGACGACATCACTTTCCACATCGCAGTCCGAGGTCTTCTGTTCTCGTTACCGCATCCAGTCAAGAGGAAAGCGCCAGCTGCAGACGGAATGCGGAAAGGTAAAGGCAGCGAAGCATTCAGGATGTTCTATCCAACGAGTCTGAAGCTGTGGAGAATGAAAGAAGAAATCGAGAGTGCGATAGATCTATGGGTATCACGGCTCATGAAAGGCGAGGAAGATCATAACGTTACGGCTGGAGCAACGATGTTTGCTCGTCCTAAATCTGGGATGGTTGAGAGTTGGAAAAGCTCTGCTATGTCAAGGAAACAGAGTACGAAGGAGAACGGAAAGCACGAACATACTACACCTCTCTTGTCTGTTGGCACGTCAGCAAGGAAAGAAATGCTTCTCGAGCGCTTGCCATACATGCTCGTCATCGCCAAAGGCAAGAAAAGCGCATCGTCGGCCATCTCGATTAAGGAGCTGGAGAAAGTCGCAACATTCCAAGGAATCGGTGGACCATCTGAAGACTCCTCAGACGAAGGCGGGGACGAAGATGTAGCACCCGCGGCAGAAGCTTGGGCAACGGATAAGCCTGCGGATGGCAGCACACCGAAGAAGAAGGGGTTGGTAATGAGAGGGAGAGGAGCGGCGAATAGTTTACCCTTGCCACAACAGCAGGAACAAAAGTTGGTTCTGAGTGATGATGATATTGAGGATGATTGAATGGCAATGGCGTGAATGGCATAGGGACGGGCTCTACAGCGAAGATATAAGTGGCCGATTTTGGCTCGTGCGCCAACACTAAAACCGCAACTTTCGAACACTGAAAATTGACCTTTACGCAGGCCAAAATAATTGAAAAGTGGCTTAATTGATAGAAAAATACTTAAAGTGTTGATTAGAAGTCTCTATAAATTTTTTGGTTAGAAAAGGGTCGAGTTATTGTGAGCAAAGGCTGAAATTTGCGGTCGTGCCAAAACCAGCCACCTTTTTCTTCCCCGTAGAGGACGGGTTAGGGATATAGGATGAATGGAGTGCTTGTACTATAGCTACATGAATAATTACACGAGGGTCAATTTCGGTCGTCAATTTCGTGCTTTTCGTTGCGAATAATTCCAAAATGTCAGTTCGGCGTCCAATTACTCTGACGGGGAAATATCCCAGCATAATTCTGTTTATTTTCAACCTTTTCCCCGTTCTCCTCCGCGGTTGAGAAGCCTGTCCAACCATTGAAGTCATCCGCGAGTTTGACAGCTGCTGCGAGATACCGCTCGTGAACATCGCCCCATGTGAAAGATGCTTCTCGGATTGCTCGAAGTGCTATTTCAAGTTAATAATCACCCACAAGAACCGAGAAAATCTGCCACTTACCTTTAACGAAATGAGCATCCATCGCCCACGGCCCATTAACAGCCCTATCCTCAACATACTTCCACCCTTTCCCCGCCGGCGGCTTCACCTCAATATCCTCACTAATCCTTGGCCTCAACTGCACAACATAGACAGCAATCGTCAATAACCACCACTGTCTCACCAAACTGATATGAAACTTCTTCGGAATCAACGGGAGGAGGATCCGCACAGCGTGAGAGGTAGTAAGAAGATGCACGAGGAAGAAATCATAACTATGAGTACCGGGTAGAACGGTATTTACCGCGGGCTGTAGGATGTTGAGGCCATGGCAAGGGCTTCCATTGCTAGTTCTTTGTTAGAGAGTTCGTAGGCGTAGCCGAGGTGTATTAGTGGATGGCCAACTATAGGTTTTGTTAGTATAGAGGTATCTGCAGAAGTGGTAGAAACGTACGCCCTCCAATGATTCCATTGATCAGAGGCTCCTTGCCCTCGAAGAGGTATTCTTCTGCAACTCGTTTCCAATCATAACCGAACTTCAGCGCCAGCTCATCCGCGGGCTGTAGGATGTTGAGGCCATGGCAAGGGCTTCCATTGCTAGTTCTTTGTTAGAGAGTTCGTAGGCGTAGCCGAGGTGTATTAGTGGATGGCCAACTATAGGTTTTGTTAGTATAGAGGTATCTGCAGAAGTGGTAGAAACGTACGCCCTCCAATGATTCCATTGATCAGAGGCTCCTTGCCCTCGAAGAGGTATTCTTCTGCAACTCGTTTCCAATCATAACCGAACTTCAGCGCCAGCTCATCCTCGTAGAAATCCACATATGCTCTCTGATATCTCTTGTCTCCTAGGAAGTCCCTCCAGTCCGTGTCTGATATCTCTGCGGGCGAGTCCTTCCAGTCTTCGAGCTCTTTCGACTCCTCATCATATATCTTCTGCAACTGGTCAACATTTGCTCCTAGTAAGTATGCCGAGCCCAGCAAATGTGGCATATGGTTATGATACTGCAGATCATGATAAATTATCGAATGGTTGACATGATTCGCTCGTAGCAGATGCTTCAGTGTTCTAGGTCGTTTCTCTGGAGCTGTCTCCACATCGTGAATCTCGACTGATGGAAGGTCGATTGACTGAGCGGCGTAATTGCTGGTTGTGAGGTATCTTTGGATTCGGCTGACGATAGGTACCCATGCTATCATGGGAGAAGACATGATTACAGATTGTGTATTCTTGACTTGGAGTTTTCTCTCCTGATGTTGAAGTTGTAACGTTGGGAAATCCAAACTGTGGGGAAACGAGGCTGTGAAATGATCTCATGCTATTCTGCGCTAAAATGAAGCATGGCCAATCGGCAAAGTGGAACTTGAGCTCCGATGGGGCGAGGCTACAAGATTTCTCGACGACGCGTTGAGCTTTCTCCATCAAACACGAAAATCCTAAATACTCGACGACGCCCACAACGACCACGATGACCGCAGGACGATGATTTGAGGTGCCTTGAGAATTACGACAGCTGTTTCCAAGATTCCGATGCTCTGACGACCAGCTCAACAGAATTGAAGCTCCAAATCCTGAACTGAGCTTCCTTAATACGCAACAGCCTTCAAGTTTCTCCAAAGAACTCCATGAATCGATCCGCCATAATCTCAGCAGGTTGCTAGGATACTTTTGTCCCTGAGCCAAACCGAGGCTAGAGCTGAAGAAGCTTCGCGAAGGCACGTCAAGTGCCTTGATAATTGATACCTAGATATCGAGAACAGATGTACAGTAGCAGGATGGCACAGCCGAAGGTGCTGCTATACGCAGAATTGCTACCCAACATTCGTCAGATCTCGGTGATGGTTGCATTAGACCAGCCATGTTATACTTCAACAAAAGGGCTATTGTCAGCAGATGGTCGGCATATTGTTTTGACCCATGGCGGAGAGAACTACACGTTGAGCCTTCCTGAACAAGCTATTCCCACCGCGCAGCTCCAGAAGCCTGTTGTTGGTAGCAAAGAGCTGTCATGGCGACTTCCAGTGGCTGGTCTGTCTTCCCAATCAAGTGTTGAGTTTGTGCAAAGCAATGATGCTCCTTGGCCTGCAAAAGACCTTGGATCGAGTTCGGAATTTTCCTGTCGCAAATGCGGTGCAGTCATTGTACAAAAGGATGTCGTCAAATCCTGGAGAGATCTTCCCAGCGAGAACTGGGCTGAAATGATGGATTTCTGGCACTGCCATAAGCCAGAGGATAGGCCAGACGTTGAGACCAATGGCGAGAACTCCCATGCTGGGCACAATCATACTAGCGACCCTAACGCCAACAGGGCATATGGAGCTAATACAAAATTTATTGCGCAATCTGGGATTGGCTTCGTTGATCTCACAAGCTTCCTGCTCGTTGACTCGGATTGTCAAAACCTGCAGGTAAGGTATAGCTTTCTTTATTTCTTCCTAAGTCTCCTCGAGTTCCTGCGGGTATCAAGAAGGCGGCCAGGCTCTGCGTTCGCAGCTCAATGGTTTGGTCACCGATACAAATACCCAAGATTGACACCCAGCTACCGTACTGCGCAAGCAGCAGTCTTCTTGACAATACCCTCTTCTTTGGACTATGGGTTACCTGATGACTGGAGGTTGCGGCCTCGGCCTTTCACGCCATATCTTCCTAGAGGTGCTGGAAGGTCATGGGATTAGCATGAGGGACATGCCTTTGGCATTTGAAGTAGTATTGACTGACCTGAGTACAGACAGTCTCTCACGGAGAATCTTCGTCTCGGCTACCCACATTATCGTGCAAGTCTTGCCAGTCTTCTATCGGATATTTTGATACCCAATCATGTGGAGTCAGACTACACAAATGGAGCTTGTCGTCCTCCAGCATTCCCGGTCCTCCCTCCCTCGTCGCTCCGCCAATTTCTACCATTATCTCCGCAAAACTTCTTTCCATCCTACGCGCACAAGTCTCATCCAAAATACTTCTGATACCAGAAACCTCATCCTCGTCTCAAACACTGCATCTCTGGGTCCTACAACAATCCCTCTTCTACTCCACCTCCGAATCTTCTACAGGATCTCAGACATTCGCAATGAAAGTGCTGTGGAAACATGCCAGCAAGGAAGAGACCAAAGCATTGTTGGACAACGAAAAGGCGGAAGATACCACGTTGCCGGATGATGCTGTTAAGGAGATTGAGACGTGTCTGAGGGAAAGCGCAAGGTGCTTACCACCAAGTTCGAGATTGTTTCAGGGGTGGAATGTCAGCTTGTTGGAGAGATATCTAGATGAGTGATGAGGTCTGAAGACTTTCAAGGAGAAATGATCCTTGCGATGCCCAAATTAAGCTTCCTTGACCGAAAGGCGCCTTTTCGACCTTTTCGAAAAATAAGAAACGAGGGTGAGCGTTTTGTACTTTAAAAACCGTTTGCCTTCAAGCCATCAAAAAGTCTTCCAAGTGAAATGCAGTCAAATCTTCCGAAGTGATACCTCTAGTTCTCTCGCTTGCAAATTTCAAATTTGTGGCCCCCCTTTCCCCACATTCATACCACAAACATATAGATTTAAATAAACACTTTTTCTTTATCAACCAATCAAATCCGTATTGGTGTACCGGTAACATTTCCGCCTCTCATGAAGACCGCGGGAGCACAGGGTTCGATTCCCTGATACGGAGTATTCTTTTTTCCTTCCCCACCTCCTTCCCCCACTCGGTAGTGAACCAAGCGCGATAGGTAATGACATAGGTTCGATTTCCTGATATAGAGTACATTCCAGTTTTGATAGTTTCTTCTTGGGAGTTTTTTTTTTGGATGGCCAGTGTCCTGATATCTCTGTAAACTTTGCTACAATACCTTTACTTTTAGTTTTGAAGAATAGTCTTTCGTCGTGCGTTTGCTTCTCTTGATACAGCTTTGTGCTTCCTATCTGCATGGGAAGAGGGCGCACCCAAGTGGCATTTTGGTTTCCCATATAAGTGCTTATGGAAAGTCAACGAAAGACAACCCAGTCTCCTGCTTCATATATTCCAAGATCGCGAGAACTTTCTCATCCCCAAATCGTCTGCCAACAAGCTGCAACGAGATCGGTAGTCCATCGAACTCCTCTGCATCATCTATCTAAGTCAAAAATGGCCATTTAGAAGGGAGGGAGAACTCGCATAGTGTCCAATGCTCCTCATCAATATTTGTCATCGGCTTGAAGTTCATAGCCTGAACATCCCTCTTCTTATCAACCTTACTAACAGGAAACACCACAGCAGGATAATCCAACAAATTCCACTGACTCGTATACCCCCAATACCTCGCCGTGTTATGCCTCGGCGCCACACCCGGAGCAGCAGGACATAATATAACATCCACCATCCTCCCCTCATCACCACTTTTCGTCTCATTCCAAACCTTCGCATACTCTTTCCTATAAGCTTCTCGCTCTTCGCACCAGTAATACAATTTCTGCGGCGAGAGTTTCTTAACGCAAGGGTTCTCTTTCAACATCCATGTAGTGAGCGGCCGCCATGGTTCTCCGGATTCAGCGATCGTGGCTGCGTCGGCGGTGCCGCCGTCCGTGAAGTAGAGGCTGGATATTATGGCCCAGGCTTCGTCGTGGAGGTGGGGATGCCAGTCCACGATGTCAACATTCGGCAAGGTTCGAAGACGTGAGGAGAGTTCTTTGAGAGCGCGGGTGACGGGAGGATGAGGGGTGACGACTCCATCGTTCCACATTACTGCGATTTTGAGAGGCTGATTGTCTGATATTTGGATAGGGTTCCAAGGGATTGGGATTAAAGCTGGTTCGGAGAGCCATGGCTGTGAGTCGATGATGGTTTTCATGAAGAGTTTGATGCCTGAGAGACTGGTGCTCAGAGGTCCGATGACACCAGGTATGGAATCAGCTCCTGCCATTGTGGAACACCACCCATCTGTTGGGATCCGGAATGCAGTTGGTTTGAATCCGTAGATGCCGCAGTTGGCGGCTGGACTTCTGATACTTCCTGGATATGTCAGGTTGCTTGCCGAGATTTGGGTCCTTGGACTCACCCCCAATATCACTTCCAATACCTAAACAGCTACCCCGCATTCCAATCAGCGCTCCCTCACCACCACTACTCCCACCAGACGAAATATTACCATTATAGGGATTAGTCGTCACACCATACAGATTACTATCTGTCTCCAAATGCATCATACTTTGCGGTTGAGAGGTCCTCGCATGAAAGACTGCACCAGCATTCCACAAGATATCCAATACGTGTGCGTTTTCGGAAGCAGTCTTGCCCCACCATGCTACGTAGCCAGCGTTCAGACCAAGGTCTTTCATACCGATCATCTCTTTGACGCTGATTGGAAGGCCGTGGAGAGGTCCAATGGGCTTTTTGTGTTGAAGGAAGTAGTCATCGAGTTCCTGGGCTCGAGCGAGGGATCTTTCGGGGAGGAGCTCGGTCATACAGTTTGTCTGGAAGTATCGGTATGAGGACATCAAGAAAGATTTGAAAGATAAATGAAAATACTGACTAGTCTCTGGGCAAGAGCAGCTCGGCGGAGGAAGGCGGTCGTGGCTTCGACGGCACTGGTATCTCCTCTGCGTAGCATGGCAACCAAATCTTCTGGCAGACATTCTGTGATTTGGATGTCTCTGGGCTCAAGAACATTGCTCCCAAAATCTATTGAACGTTTTGGGAGTAATTCAAAGCTGGGAAGTCGTCCATCGATATCAGAGATGCCTGGAACTCTCCCAAGACTTGCATCCCTATACTCCCAAGCCTCCCTCACGACTTCCTCCCAGTGCCTCTTTGGCTTGATCTTTCTTGACGCCGCCATATCTCACAACGAACAAATGCAGAAACACCAAACTTGATGGGCACACACAACCATTACTGCTGATACATCATGACTCTTCAGCTCGCTGCCTCAGACGTACATGAATTCACCCGCCTGATTGGACACGGAGAATAAGCACTCAATTTTTCCCTGTCCAGGGCTCTCGACCACTTGATCTCCAGCACCCCATAAATGCAATCAAATACAAGCTTTTGTTGCACATCGCAATTGGCATGCCTTTTCTTTTTCTTGCCGGGTAAATTTGACGGAGGAAAGACTGAAGCTGTTCGGACGATGTATGGATGAGGTTAAATACCTCGGCTAAGTTCTACCCCTGAATTTGCATGGAAGAGGCCAGTTTGGTCACGTGGCGATAAGATAAGGAGAGGCAACGTCTTGCAACCCAGCTTCCGTTTTGGCACTGAAGTTTGTACCCCGCTACGAAGGGCGAGTATTGACATGATCTTGAGATCCCCCACCTTTGCGGTGACAGCGAGATGCTTCTCTTCTTCTACACCACTACCTCGTAAGTTAAGAGGCGGTCAAGTCCTCGTCAGTTGCTAATGTCTTCATAGGATCTGTTACCCTTTCTAAATTTGCAGAAGCCAACCTGTTGATAGCTCGAGACAAAGCTCCGAGTCCGACTTTCACGATCAATCGCCACCAGTCTGCGGATAATAAGACGCGCGCGATTGCATCTCGTCAATACAAGGCTGCGATTAATAAGAAGAAGCGCCTATTTACAATTCATCGACACTATTCTAAGGATAACGAACAGGCGATTGCCAAGATAAAGCAACACGGTATACATACCAGGCCCAAGATGTCTACAGAGCACCCTCAACAAAACGGCATCAATGGCCAGAAAGGCATCAATGGCCTTGGTGGGACAACCGACCTCCCTCCAGCAGATGGACCACAAAAGCAGCAGAATGCCTGGTCCGGCCCAGGACCTGCTGCCTTCGACTTCAGAAGTACTTCTCCCCAATTGGAGTACAATGTATTAGATTAACAATCCGTAGGCGACGTAGTAACAACACCCACCCCCTCCATGCTCTCTGCCGTCCAAAACACCACCTTGCTAGACGACGTCTTCATGGAAGACCCCACAACCATCTCCCTCGAATCCCACATGGCCACTCTCACCTCCCACGAAGCATCCCTCTTCGTCCTCTCCGGCACAATGGGTAACCAACTCGCCATCCGTTCACACCTAACTCAACCACCTCATTCCATCCTCTGCGATTACCGAGCACATATACTAGAATGGGAAGCTGGTGGAGTTGCTACATTGAGTGGGGCGTTGGTCAAGGGTGTTGTACCGAGTAATGGGGTATATTTGACGTTGGAGGATGTTAGGAAGAATGTTGTGATTGGAGATGAGATACATGGTGCTCCTACGAGGGTTATCTCGTTGGAGAATACGTTGGGAGGGACGATTATGCCGTTAGAGGAGGTTAGGAAGATTGCTGCTTTTGCGAGGGAGCATGAGATTAAGATGCATCTTGATGGAGCGAGGCTCTGGGAAGCTGTTGTTGCAGGCGCGGGGTCGTTGCCGGATTATACGAAGGAGTTCGACAGCGTCAGTCTCTGTTTTTCGAAGGGGTTGGGTGCGCCAGTAGGAAGCATCCTGGTTGGTAGCAAGAAGTTCATAAAGCAGGCGAGATGGGTGAGGAAGAGTATTGGCGGCGGTCTACGACAACCAGGAGTGGTGACAGCAGCAGCAAGAGTCGCTGTCGATGAGACATTCGGCAAAGATCTAAATGGACAAGCGGGACTTCTCAAACAAAGTCACATCACAGCCAGGAGGATCGCGAAGATCTGGACAGACATGGGTGGGAAATTGGATAAACCTACTGAGACGAACATGGTATGGTTCGATCTTGACGATGTCGGATTATCTGGAGATGAATTCGCGGAGTTAGGCAAGAAGCATGGGCTGCGGCTCTTAGGTGGAAGACTGGTGGTTCATTATCAGATCAGCGATGAGGCTGTAAACAGGTTGGAGGTGGTGATGAAAGAAGCCATGGCGAAGAAAGGAACGAACGGAAGTGTTGGGAAGAAGGTTGGCGAGAAGGCTTATGGAACATGAGTTTTGTTATAGACTAGATTTATGATGTGCATTATACCACGAGGAACAAGGAATAAACGAATATCTCAGAGAATGAAAAATATTACGCTTAGGTAAATAAGGCCAGCAGTGAAAAAGGGGTGTGCTCGCTGATAAAGTTGTCGTCGCTTCCAGATTTGGGCAATGTCGGGATCTGCCTTAAACAAATCGCGGGAGGTACATCTGTTCCGTGGAGGGACAATTTTCATCTGAAGGTTTGTCAAGCTTCGAAGGTGCCGCCGAACAGGCCCACAGTCGAGGATCAACATTAGTAGCATTGGTGATGATTCTGACTACCTGTTGTCCAGAGAAAGGAGATAGCCAGGCAGGAACGGGGGAAGGAGAAGGGACCGACTTAAGAGAATTCGTCGAATCCTCAACGTGACCCGAACACAACGAAATTAAGAACTGCTGATAACAAACATCATATAGGATCATCAAGCTTCTACGCACATGCGAAGAAGTCGAACTTCTGTCTAAAATCTACAGATCTAATATCCGAGACAATCATCCTGGCGATTGCCCAAGGGGTCTTGAAAGGACCTGAGAGTCTTTAAAGACCCGAAGATTCTTGAGAACTTCTCATTTACCTGGCAAGAGTGGACCAGGAGGTGACCCCGGTGAACCCGGTTTGGGCTGGAGGGACGGGCTGCAGAAGCACGTGTATCATGGCATCTGACTAACACAAGAGATCAATGAACATGTTTTCGAATCTCAAAGGCTTGGGAACACATATGGGGCAGGATG